CCCCCCCCATTCCTGATGCCTCCTCCCCCGATTCACAGGCCATCAGCCGGCAGGTGAAGCAGGTTCAGCAGGTGGACGAAGACCTTTGCTACGACGACGTGGAAGCACCCACCCCGCCTTCAGAGGATGCTGCCCGTGTTCGCCCCTCCGCCACCGCAACTGCCGGCTTGTCACCAAAAGCGAAACAGCAGGCGATGGCATCGGCGGCAACGGCGCCAATTGACGACGTGCCGCCTACGTACGACGAGCTCGACGCTGATGCGCCCTCCCCGGTATGTTTTTTTTTTTCCGGGGGTTGCAGTTGTTTCGAAGCTTTTTTCGTCGCAAGCCGAGGTTGTGTGGCAATAGTGATTGTTGCTGTTTCCCCGTCACAAACAGTCGAGTGCCGAAACCGCTGCCTTCCCACTCTGCTACGATGCACCCAACTCGTCGCCAAGCTCGATGTGCACACTTCACGCACAGCAATAGAGTCTCTGTTGCGTTTTCTGATCGTTTGCCCATGGGTGCATCACGGGCTAGATTTGGTGCTTCGTACATGGGCGCCTGTGTGCCGTTGCCTGTTCTACCCTCCCTCATGTGGTCCGTGTTGCCCTGTTACGAAGTTGCTTACACGTGTCGATATCTCGGCCAATCAGTGTTTGTTAAGTTCAATGCCGTTCGCGGCAGAACGACGCCCGCCATGGTCTCTCTCGTATTTATTTCTTTAACGAAAGCACCCACACTCACGCTCACGCTGACACTCCTGTGCATTTCGGTGGATGCCCCGCTGCCCCCAGTCCCCTTGTGGTTTTCATCGCTCCCCAATCCTCACGGCCGTTGGGTGGTTCTCTGTTGACATGGAAAGCTCCCACCATTTTTTTTTATGTTTCTTGCTGGCAGGCCGGTGGCAGGGAACCGCCGAAGACGCTCGTCACCGTTGACTTGGGATCTGAGGGGCGAAGTAAGTAAAGCACTGCCCGTTCCCCAGGTTGTGAATGAAGGTTCATGGGGGCAAGTTGTAGTTGCCCTTCTGTTAGTCTCCCCGCAAGTAACTAGGACCAACTTATTTCTTACGCCGCGCAATTGACGAGTTTGCGTTCACCGCCATCAGGGTCATCATGGCCGCTCTCTCATCGCTCTTCCTCACTTCTTGAATGTTGGTGTTATTCATTTTTACCCCTGCTTCGGCGTGACACCAAATCCCGTCAATGAACGCGAGACACCCGCAACACATGCGTCTTACCTAACCTACATAATCCAAGCAATAAGAACCACCTTGAGTCGAGAGACCGTGGACACTAATCCTGCTGTCTCGTGTTGACATGAAACAGGACGATGAGCCTGGAAGTGAAGTGCAGGGCACGACATGTTGGATCGATGCCATCGCGACGTCGGCGCTCGGTGCCAGCCAGAGCAACGACAATTATTTTTCGCCGATCGTCAGCTGACGAGGGACTGCGACGCTCAGGGTCCATGCGTTCATGCACCACATGCGGCAGGCCGCTGGCTTTCACGTGCCTTCCTTGCGGGTGCTGTTGTGCGTGGGTGCTACGTTTGCGCGTTGGCCTGGAAGGAGCTACAAGGTGGTCGCGCTATGTTAAGGACCACAGACGTACCTGTGGAGAAAAACGTGCCGACGACAGATGCGAACAAGAGGCGCAAGCGTTGCGTGACGGATGGAGCAGTTGCAGCTCAAGCATGGCCAGGGCCAGGAGGGGAGAAATTTGTCGACGGAGAGGGGGAGGGGGGGGGATAACATCCCCGGCAGGAGACGGTGCTCGACCTCTATCACTCGATGGGGGAGGAGCAAATGTGTGAAAGTATGAAGGGGGCATTGCGTAGGCAAATAATAATCGGCGGGCGGGTAGCACGGAACGTGATATGCGTGACTCATGGAGAGGGGGGTTGGTAATTTTGGTACGGGTGAGCGTGCGCGCAAGCGGGACGGTGTACAATGGTTGTGTCGAACGGTTTGGGGCGCGCCCTTCAAACCTTGCAGGAGATGCTGGCCATAGGACCTGTCTGATGTTTTTTTTTCTTACCTAGGAACTGAAGGTAGCAGTAGAGGCGGCGGTGGCCCAGTGAATGTCGATATTTTTTTGCTTGTGGATGTGTAGAAGGGTGTGGAGATGGACGATGATTGTGTCGGCATGATTTTCCTTCTTGGAGGAAGGTGTCTCTTGCAGTGTTTGGAAGTCGTAGGAACCAGCTGGGGGTGCTGGGGGGTGCTGTGGTCACGCTGTATTGACCGACAAGAGCTGCAAGATTTGGTTTTCATTTTCATGGTGTGATTTTTTCGGGTCTAGATGTCTTGCCTCTTTCTAGTTTTTTATGGTGTCGACACCCGTTACTACTCCCCCTTTCACGGTTTTTATGGGCGGAGTGACGCGTTCCTGCGGAGTATGAAACGCCGCTGCCATGGCTTTTTTGCCTCGAGTTAAGCATTCATGTGTTGTTGTTGAACTGAGGGTTCGGGCAATAAACGATACTGCCGTAGGCCTTGCATGTCACGCTACATTTCCCAAGACAGCACACGCCGCCGGGCTATGGGAATTCTGTTGGTTTCGCCGCTGTCGCAAAAGCTGCGAGGGTCTTGTTGTAAGGAGCGCCGACGGAAACTCGCCGCCACGTGGAAAACACATTCCCCACCGTGCGCGGGAGACAAACTTCACAACCGGATTCTCGGGGTCTGCCATACACGCGTCCTAAGACTCCGTGCGCTACGGTCGGTGTTGGAAGGGTGGACCATTTGATCCCTTGTGCAGCGGACTTGTTTTTGCAAGGCTCCCGGGTTGGAAGATGAGAGCGTCGTTACTTATTTGTAGATTCCGTTCTTTTTTATTATATTTTGTAAGGGGTTGAGGCCCCGTTGCATTTCGTCATCATTTCGGTGGTCGATTGTGCCCTTCTACTCGTTGTCTGTTTGCGTTTCCACACCCACCCTTGTGTGGCGTATGACCTCTTTTACACATGTTCGTATTTGCCAAGTGATTAATGTGTTGGCATCGTCAGGGATAGAGGATGACGGGGGCGATTGGGGTACAACGGGAGGAATAATTTCGGATGTATCTGCCTTTTCTTACCTTGCTAGACGGCCTGTGTTGATGGCAAGGGGTGAAATTCGAGATTCTTCACGCGAAGAAAGGGTGCGTTGAGAGCGTCCTTCTTGAATTTCTCCCACTCAGCGATATGTCATTCGATATGTAATCCCAATCTAGCAGCATAATGTAAGGGGGTTGATTGTTGTGCATCGGGAACAGGTATGAAAGGGAAAGGTTGGTCGCATTATCCTTGGAGGACTTCTGTTTGCGTGCAAAATATCTGATGAGACATGGTCGCGCACACTCATGGTGCGGTGCGCCTCATGTTGCTGGTGTCAAACATCGCAAGCACTGAAGTGAATCGGGTGTTGCGGAGAGTAGGCATCCTTCCCGCAAAGGCCAAGCCCACTATTTCCAGGTTCTCCTCCTCGTAGAAGACGCCTTGGGAAGGTGTGCAAGTCATTCATTCGCGCGCCGAGGTCCCGCATGATGTCTTGTGAATATTTCGTTCGTTTCTTCACTATGTTGCGCGGGGGTTGGCTAAGAATGAAGGTATCGCGGTGGTGCTGCCACACCCGAGCTTAGGGAGAGAGCTTTTTGCTTTCCAGGACAAATGAAGAATGTCGCTAGAATGGTCACGAGGCACCGTAAATAGTGGCGAGGGCGCCAATCAATGTTTTCATGTTTTTGGACAAGGATGTGCATGATGTTCCATTTATCTCCTTCGTTTTTTCGTCTGTGTTCAGTGTTGGTTGTGTGTGCACTGCTGCTCGACCGACAGCAGCGATCAATTCAATCGAACGAGACGTGTTTGTTTATTGTAACGGTTGAAGATGACCGGGATGAGTGGACAAGCTCCATGTCACGGCAACGCAAACCGAGACACTGCTGTTGCGTGCGACGTCAACACGGCGAGACGCGATACGAACCGCCCAATTTTTGGAACGGAGTGAACGACAAATCCTCTGTTCGACTTGCTTCCGACGCCGGATGTATCATTTTGATTGGTCCAGTTTTGCCGCCGAGCGAGCCGCCTTTTGCTGGCGAAGGGAGCCTGTCCTTGACAGCATCAGGTACACACAGACAAGAAAGGAGGCATGAACAGTAGTTGTCAACCACACGCGATGGCATCGTTCTCGTTCCAAGAGTGAAGAGCATGTCATCGGAGAACTCTCCCACCACAATGGCGGTTCATTGTTCTTGTTGACGCATACGAAGTGTAAAAAATAATGGAACGCGTATTCCGTCCGCCAAGATAGCATACATACATATCATAAGAAGCCCCACGGAATGAACAACGATAGATAAACAGGCGAACAAGATCGACCTCGGACCAGTCAACGCCAATGATATGGGGATGGAGTGTAGACGCATCGTAGAACGCGTTTTCGTTTGAAGTTGGCGTCTTGTTTGAGAGTAGATGTGACAGATTTGCGTAGAATAGGGTAAGATGTTATCATGAACGGAGATGAAAGGGCTTTTCCAACACGGAGATGTAGCATGGATCAAAGCATTTGTTGGATTTCAGCTTTTACAAGCGGACATCAACGCAGCAGTATTTTAGCAAGCTTACGAACGCATATAGGATACCATCAGGATTGTCATTGGTTTTATTTCAAGTTGAAGAGGAGATATTTTTATGATGTAAATGACAGTGGTAGAAATAAGTCCTACATATGTTTTTGTACTTCGTATTGGTTTAATATTCATGTAGAGTATATAAGACATTAAGTGAAAGTTTTCTGAGGTACATCTGCAATTGTCGGAAGGCAAAAATAAATAGATGGGAAAACCCTGAAGAGGGGCAGACGACGAAAGAGCACCAAAAATGGCCCGGCGATTTCAGAGGGATATTGAATACCCGAAACTCAACACACCCAACGGGAGTATGTATCATTTGATGCGGATTTTTGTTTGGAACCGATGCTAGCAGCAAGTCCCAAGAAAAATCTGAAAGCACCGCGAGACGAAAAGGAACGAACCTCGGACAGATAGAAATTTGCCCAACCCGACGGTACTTTTACAAGGGTGTCATCATGGGGTAAAATAAATGTTGTTGTGCAGGCTAATTGTTGGAGGCATCGAAACGTGCGACAGGAATAATAACACAATACCCAATAACCCCCACCCAACCGACCAACCGTGTATTGGTTACACGGGTGGCCAGAGGGCAGAGGTTGTGGGTGGGTTGTGAGCATCCACAAGGTAGGGGCAGGTTGTAGAGGGGGGTTGGGAGGAGGCCCCAACCTTGGCCAAACGGCTTGGTTGTACAACAAGGCCGGATGCGGAAGGTTGGGAGGCAGCCACAACGTCAGGCCACACCTCTTCTTGGTTGTGCAAGCACAGATCACACAGGTTGGGGGGCATCCACAACCTTAAGGCCACACCTCTTAGTTTTGCAAGCACCGGTGATACAGGTTGGGGGGCAGCCACAACCTTAGGCCAGACCTCCTGGTTGTGAAAGCACCGATGATACAGGTTGGGAGGCGGTCACAACCGAAGGCCAGACCTCCTGGCTGGAAGATTGCAAGAATGTGTCGGTTCGACGGTCCGGGATACCTCAAATTGAACCCCACCTACTGCTCCACACGCAAACACACACACACAAAAAAAAAGAAGCACATCCCTTAAAAACCAGCCCACCTCCCGAAACGGGCAATAATATTTAGGCTCTTCCTTGCTACCAAGCTCTTCCCAAAACTTTGACGCAGCAGCAGATTCGCATTCCTGCCATTGTGTCCCGGAAATTCTCTTCATCTTGCATTCCTTCTTCCTACTCCCGAACTGGATCCCCCGGGAGTTATCTTCGTCTACGTGCGCTACTCTAGTGTCCATGATTACCGTTTCCTTCACTTCGCCCTCCTGCAATGTGGGAACGAGACGTTGGTACGTCTTGCTGACGACGTAGCACTGCTCATACTCACAACGCTGGCACGCCGAGTAGAAGCACGACGCCAACCGAGTCCTGAGTGAGCCTGTACGTCCGTTCTACCTTTCTGCAAGTAAGTCACGTCTTCCTCCCACGACACCGGATCGTGTAATCCAGCCCCTTCGCCCTTCCATCTGCTCGCTACTGCACCCAACACCTTGACTTCCCGCAACTTGCTCTTCTCTTGACTCGACAAGCTACCCCACCCCTCGCGCTTTCGTACCAGCTTGCAGTCATTTTGGAGTCCCTCAGTTGTGCTGGACCCATCCCACTTTTGGGAGTGTTTGCTCCCGCGAAGTGGTACATGTCTCGTGTACCCTCTATGCCTGCCAGGACCGAGTTTCGCCGATATATCTCCTTCTTGCCGATAAACTCGACGTGCACCCTCCGCATGCGGTACGGAGACCACTTCGCGAAATACTTCCGCATACATACCCTCCTCCCCCTCGCTACCTGCACGGGTGGCCAACAGACCGGGTTGTAGCGGCACTTTTGCCAACCTGAATCGAGATTATTTTGGCACGAGTTGCAACCTCCCCCCCACCTTGGGTAATCCTCGCAACGCAACAACGGCCAGGTTGTATAAGGTAATCTTTCTTGGAGGTTGCGCGTTGTTTACAAGTCGGACAGGGGGCAGGTTGCCGATGGTAGTGCAAGGTGTACCCTTCCTTGGCGGTTATGCACTGCTACCAAGCTGGACAGGGGGCGGACTGCCGATGGCGGCGCAAGGTGTACCCTTTCTTGGTCGTTGGTGCGCTGCCAACAAGCCGGATAGGGGTCAAGCTGTCGATGGCGGTGCAAGGTGTACCACTTCTTGTGGTTGGTGCACTGCTTACAAGCTGGACAGCGGGTAGGCTGCCGATGTCAGCGCAAGGTGGTACCCTTTCTTGGGNGGACAGGGGGCGGACTGCCGATGGCGGCGCAAGGTGTACCCTTTCTTGGTCGTTGGTGCGCTGCCAACAAGCCGGATAGGGGTCAAGCTGTCGATGGCGGTGCAAGGTGTACCACTTCTTGTGGTTGGTGCACTGCTTACAAGCTGGACAGCGGGTAGGCTGCCGATGTCAGCGCAAGGTGGTACCCTTTCTTGGGGGTTGGCGCGCCATGCACAAGTCGGTTAGGGGGGAGGTTGTCTATGGTCTGAGAAGGTGTACCCTTTTTTGCAGGTTGGCGCGCTTCGCACAAGCCGGTTGGGGGGCAGGTTGCCGGTAACAGTGCAAGGTGAACCCTTTCTTGCAGGTTGACGCGTTGCGCACAAGCCGATGAGGGGGCAGGTTGCCGATGGTAATGCATTGCGTACCCTCTCTTATAGATTGCGCACGATGCGACCGGTCTACAACAAACTGCACTGCCCAACACTGTAAGTGGCGGGTTCAATTCCCCTGCTACGTTTCTTTTTGTTCATGCTTCCTTTTTTTTTTCGCCCCTGTATTCGAATCACTACAATATTACCGTCGGCACATTCCCGAGCAAACCTCTAAAACAACGACATCCCGTGCCCATGCATCATACACATTGCCAGCAGCTCTATCTTAAACCCATCTCCGCCCGCGGCTTATCATCTCTACCCAGGGTCAACATCCCAAGTCGCACGATTAGATGTAAGCGAGAACCATAGAAGGTGCTTCAAATTGAAACAACACATACATACTCTTCCGAACGTCATTCTGTATATTGAATGTCCCCCCACAACAGCATGCCCTCGCCCATGACCGTCAGCGACGTCGATCATGGAGACGACCCACGACCCCCGCAACAAACTACCTTTGTTGTGAGGAAACACCGCTCAGCCGGAGACAACAGCTACATGTAGCGGCAGCAGTGTTTTCCAAACGCAGAGGTAGAAACGACCGTCCCTCCCGACACGAAACACGGAACCCGCCCCCGCCCCGGCCGTCCCAAATTCTACAACTATTTAACTCTAGTCAAGAAAAAACGTCACTGCCTGAGACGGAGCCAGCTGCGACAGCGGTGTCCTCTTAAAACAATGCAGAGACTGCAGTTATAGACATCTTTACGTTCCCAACACCATCGAAACAACTCCCCCCTCCCCTCCCCCACAAGCCACTATTCGCACGGACAACAAACGGCGCGGACGAAGCCAAGAGGCAGCAGCGACAGATTCCAAACACCCTTGCAGACACAGAAAAAACCTGGCTCTCATCTTGCGCCAGGCGCCCTCATGCACCAGCAAGAGCAACAACCATATCATAGCACCATATGAAAAATTTAAATACGGTGAGACATGGCTATCGGGATATTTCTCCGCCTTCTCCGTCAAAGCTTCGACCCGTTGTGAACGCCATGAGGGCCCGAGAAACGCTTTGAACGATGTTGCAGGTTGTAGCGGAGGTTCCGGCGACTCGACCTGGAGGTTACCGATCAGCAGCGAAATAGTATTGAAGTGTGAGAGGAGGGTAATAGTGTTCCGTCGAGAAATCGAGCTAATGCTCTCCCCCTGTGCAGCAGAATAGTTCTTGGTATAGCTGACAGATGTACAGCCGTAGTCGTTAGACCATTGACCTCGCATTCCTACATAGCCGGGACGGAGCACGCCGGGTTTTCACCGGACCAGGCTCTCACATCACCAAGCGCGAAGCGCCGTGAGATATTCGGCGAGTCGCATGAAGGGTGCGCTGCATCCTGCTAAGGGTTTTCGGCATCTTGTGCTTACTCCCTTGCGTACGGATGACAGCTGCGTATGACTTTATTTTCTTTCTCGTGCTTTTACTTCGAGAGACAGTTGTAAGCACCGTGTAACTGCCTCGAGGGTGCTTGGCCATTTCAACACAACGTGGTGCGATCATCCCCCTTGCGCGGAGTGAGGGTTCTCCCCGCACAACATGATCTACTCAACCATCATTATGGTTACCGCCCAAAAAAAATAAACGGAGGAAAAAAAAAAGAACGGTAACCTGGTTGCCGAGTTCACGAAGTGAATTGGCTTGTTTGACAACGTCGTTGCCAAGCGACGAAAACCCAATCCCGATAGGCAAACACCGGAGGGGGGGGGGTGTACTCATAGTCGTGCATGCCGTAGTCGTTAGACCATTGACCTCGCATCCCTACAAAGCCGGGACGGAGCACGCCGGGTTCTCACCGGACCAGGCTCTCACATCACCAAGCGCGAAGCGCCGTGAGGTATTCGGCGAGTCGCATGAAGGGTTCGCTGCATCCTAAGGAGGTTCGGCATCTTGTGCTTACTTCCTTGCATACGGATGACAGCTGCGTGTGACTTAATTTATTTTCTGGTTCTTTCACTTCCAGAGACAGTTGTAAGCACTGTGTAACTGCCTCGAGGATGCTTGACCATTTTAACACAACGTGGTGCGATCATGCCCCTTGCGCGGAGGGAGGGTTCTCCACCCCGCACAACATGATGTACTCGACCACCATTATGGTTACCGCCAAAAAAAAAAAAGAGGTAACAAGAAAACGGTAACCTGGTTGCCGAGTTCACGAAGTGAATTGGCTTGT